ATCACCTAATTGCAATATTGCTCTGACATTTTCATGTAAATAAAAAAATTTCAAAGGAAACTGAGTAAATAAATCAAAACACAGTTTTGGTTTATTTACTCTGAGTGTGTTGTACTTTCAGCAAATGCCTTTTTAACTCCAGTTAATGATTATTGATAATAGGCCTGTTACGATAACACATTTTACTGTACGAGAAATTGTTTCAGAAATTATTGCGATAAACAAAAATATAGTTTTGAGACCCTTTTTTAAGCAATGTAAAGATAAAAACAATGAACACATTCTCCAAGATCCGTAAACTTTAAATTTTAATGAACATTTAACGCTGGAACTGGAAGGTATTTTAAATATCTAAATTAAATTAAAATGACAAAATTAATTTTGAAGTCTTTGTAAACAAAATTGTCCTTCAAAAATGGGCTAGTTGAGACCAAAGCACCAAACTGAAGATTTTTATCATCCAGTTTTTGGTAGAAAGAAAGAAAAAAAAGAGAAACGATAAATCAGGCCAATGAAAATTATTGAGTTTGTTTTAATTTATTATGTGATTAATTGATTTACTGATTATTGTGACAGGCCTAATTGACAATTATTTCAATAACTGGTTCATCACAATTAATCTGATTAATCCTTTCAGTCATTTTTTCCCATCTTTCCACAGCTTCTCTGTGGAAAGATTTAGCTTTTGGCAAAACTGCATGCAAGTTTTCTTCTTTTCGCTCTTCCCACAATTTCAATGCATCAATAAATTCTCCCACCTGAGCCTTGGGTCTCTGCAACTCCTCCAGAGTTACCATGCCTAATATGTCTAATGTGGCCCTTCCTCTTCATGATGCTGTTTGTTCTCCAGTGTTTAAATTTACTTTTAATGTCAGGTGTTTAAATTACATTTCACACTGATCCTCTACTTTGTGTTCCCATTAAAATACATTAAAGTTTGTGGCTTAATCTGGAAATAACAAGTTCACACACTACCTCCAAACAAGCATTTCCTGTAAATAGACTCTTCTGCTTACAACTAAAGTAATAAGTGGCACCGAAGCCTCAATCGGACCATTCTGTCTGGCTAAGTTTAGTCTTTTTCTAAATTAAGTTCCATTTTTTGATGTTGTCTGGACGTTTTTTCTTTAAAAAGTCTTTCATTAAATACATTCCGAGCATGTGAGTGTGTGTGGTTTCAGAGTTTAGCACGAGAAGATCCTCAATGAAACAAAAAGGAGGCGACTTGAAACTAAAGCGTGCTTTGGTTTCCCCCTGGGAGGAAGAACGCACTAAATACTAGCTTTGCCTCTTTCCTGCCATTTTTAACAACACCGATTAGTTTTATAGCTAATTTAATTCAGTTCATGAATTTTTTTGATAGAAACATGGTGGAAAAGAAGTACATCCTCTTTTATTTGGAGTGCATAAAAATGATTCTAAACTTCCACACTGTCATTATCTATTGAGAAAGTATGGAGCCAAAGCAAAAAAAAAATTACAAAATTACAATAAAAGCAGCTTGAAGAAGAAACCTTATCAGCATTAAAAGTCATTTTCTCCATGACTCAGTCGCTCACATCATTGTGAAATAATTATCGCCCTCTAAGGAGATTTGCAGGTCCTGTGCTTTCATGACAGCCCAGATCACCACCCTCCTACACCGTGCTCGACATGCTTACATTGGGGCATAATCACTGATTTTATTGGGAAGATCACACTGTTGACAGTCAATTAAAAACTTTATTCAAGAAAATGTAATTGAGTAAATGTAACTAGTTACTACCCAACTCTGAATATAAAGGGATTATCTGTAAATACGGCGGATGCAGGCGCGACTTGACTGCAGCAGCAAGAGCCGGGCGGCCTTTAAACGCTCACTGGTTGCCATGGTTACCTGCGTTAATCTTGCCGTTTTAACATTAGCTAGCATGTTGTCAGTCAGTGTACTACGGCCGTTTATCTCAGGGTGATAAAATAAGTTATGCTACCAAACTGACATTAGTGAATGAGACGCGTCTTAAGGACCGATACGCGTTAAATGCAGGTGAGTCGATAAACGATGAGAGTAAATTATTAAAGAAATTTGTTCATCAGCTTTCATTAAGATAGGTCGAGTCTCTATAAATAAGATGAACATACATGGTGAGCAATAAGGGCACCGGAATAGGGTTTTTATAAACTTTACTTTTTTATTTTAAAAAATCTAATTTAGCGTGCAAAGGACAAATAAAATACAATCTTTTCTTCCTGTTTTGGTCTCATTTGGAGGAAAAATGAAGATGTAGATGAATCCATTGAGGCAGGTGATAAACTAAGCCTTCAGAAATAACAAATGCAAGGCAGTGCAAGGTACAGAGATGCTCTGCCAAAAATAAAACCTCTGAAACTGCAGACGCCGCAAAGCTGCGTACGAGAGTTGCACTGGGTGCAGAGAGGTGAGCTGCACTGGCTGTAAGTTGTAAATGATTTCATTAGCCTTATTGTAAATAGTTTAGTTATAATAATGTATTCTTGCCTGCGTTCTGAAAGCGACATGCTCAGTGGAGTGGCTGCTGATGCAACGTAACGTCGACTGATAATCCCTCTATGTTATAGAACTGTATAGTAATATTTACTACTTACACCAGATAGAGTTCATATGATGCAAGAAGTAAATAGCTCATTTAATTAGGTTGCATGTCTGTGAATCTTTTGTGTTGTGACACTTACAATATTCATGACGGCCAGGATGTACTGCTCGATGTCCCTGCGGCCGTGGTATCCCACCATCATCTTGTCGGCCACCACCAGCGTCTCCACGTAGCGCTCCTGACTGACCGAGCGCTTCAGGGGCAGCTGGCCGCGGCCGACATGGTGAGGCGGCGTCTTCAGGGTCCGCTGCCACCACGACGCGCCTTTCATTGGCTTCTCGTCTGAGGTAAACCACACACATTCATGATTTCTAGAGTATATTGTGGAAATAAACCCAAAAAAGGCAGAAGAGTATAAAGTTCTCCACCCAGGCACTTAATAAGAAAAAAAAATTTTCAGCAAGGCCTTGTTTGCTAATCGACACCAGAATGCAAATTTTCTCACCAATGACCCCGCAGGAGCGGCCCTTGTACTGATAGCGCAGAGATGAGCGTTTGTAAACCACATGGGGGCGCCCTTCTGTCCTCTCCCCCCTCTCTGTCCGGGTTTGGTTATCTGGTGAGACAAGCGGTTCAATGAGGTACTCCTCTCCCCCTGCAACAATCACCCCCTGCTGTGAGACACAGATAAGGAGAGCAAAGAGGTAAAACAAAGCAGGATAACATGGAAGCCTGCAATAAAAACCTGAAACGTTTACTGCTAAATAGAGCTGAACAATAGATAATCAACAATATATATGGTCATAGACACGTTATCAATATCGATCCATAATACACCTGACACAATATTCAATCATTTCAATTAACTCCAATCCAGAACGGCACAGCATTCTGGGTGATGTAGGGAGAGGAGAGACTTTAGCCACAGCTAGCTAAGAAAATATGGTGGAAACAACCAACTCTCTCTCTCTCTGGTTACCCAGCAACTCATTCATTCTGTGGTTACCTAGCAACAACCTGCTGAGTAACTGGCGCAGCAGCAGTTTAAGGTTTCACCACTGCACCTCACAACTGCTTAAATATGAAAAACAACGCCGTGGAGTGAGAACTGTGGATAAAACAGCAAAGATTACGCCACCAGTTTGGCTGCATTTCAGATATTTAAAACAGAAAACTAATCAATAATTATAAATATTGACTTATATGAAACGCTTATAATGTTTTTCAGCCACCATTTATCCACCATCATCAGTGGCTAACTAACTAGCCTGAGCATTCATGACAGGCTAGTCGTAGCTGCAGGATAGCAGAGAGCAAAGGGCTGAGCATCGCCGCATGGAAGGGTGATTGACAGCGCTAAGACCCGCGTCCTGGCTCCAATTGGTTGTTTCTAGATAGCAAACTGTCACAACATAATGAGAGTTTCAGCAAATATGTGAAACATTATTTTTCATAAAAGTTATATACTGCAGCTTTAATGGCTTTCCTGATTAAACAAAAGTTATAATGAATGAAAAATAGAGGATAATTATCTGCAAATGGGTAGTAATTTTTTGTTACCACGGTCTGAAAAGGGCTACATAACTAATCATAACACATGTTTCATATTTAGAGTGGTCCATATTTTGAGAGAGTCATGCACGATGTCCCTTCCCCTCCCACGGAGAAACGCTGGACTTGTTTGAGCAAAGGATCAGGAACACACAAGAGAGCATGAAAGGGTGAATGAGAGCGAGAAAAATGAGTGAGTGAGACAGAGAGCGATACACTAACACTTCCTTTGATTCTGCTCAGATGTGTCGGCCCCGCTCAGAGCGAGTGTCTCCCCATCGACTCGCCGCGGCGACGTTCAAAGCGCCTTTTAAATCCCATAATGAGGTTAGTGACGCTCCCTCGGACACACAGCGTGCTCACTGGTGAATGCCCTCATGCTGGTCCGACCAACACTAATTACGTGTGAGGCTTTTTAACGCTTTCTGAGCACGTCCGAAACACTATTGTGGGTCCTGCTGTTTTGTAGTGAGAGGATACGCGGCGGGAAAAGCAAAGTGCGTTGATGCATCACGATTGAGAATCGCCGGTCAAAGGGTTTGGATGAGCAGAAACTTGGAAGCATCATCAAACAGATGGCGGCGATCTGTTGTGATTCGAAGAGATGACCTCATGAGAAAACTCTGAATGAAAGGGAATCTGTGCTTCGATACAGTAAGCGCTAAACAAGTCTAAACAACTCATCATCTCATGTTTTCTACACTGACAAAAAATTACTCTGTGGTGAGGTAGATTTAACATCACTGAATCCGATGTTAAATCAAAACAAAAACATCCCTCAACAGAAAAACGCTTCTAGAGAAACAAAAAAAGCAAAATGCAACAAGATTTTAGATTAGTTCAACTTTTACTTCAGGATTTTTTAAGTAGCACGTTACTAAAAACATGTTTATTCTGACTGTGATTTGGTTCCTAGTAATGCATTATTCACAGAATAATCTCTATAGGAGGTAAAAAAAATGTAGCAAGATTTTTCAAAGAGCTCTTTAAAATTAAGAGTCAAAAAACTGTTGTAATGCAGAAAACTACCAAAACTACACTGAAAAAAGAAGAAAGCTCCAACTTAAAAAAACAAAAAGTAACTGAATGAAGTTGGTCAAACTTACTTTATTCACATTTGTTTAACCCAACAATTTATTTACTTAAGTAAACTTAATTTGATTACCGATTAATTAAATGTATTAAATTCAATGACAGGCTCTCTTTTTTTCAGCGAGTTTAGGAGAGTTTAAACCTTGAAATGTCTGAAAAGATGACCAGAAATTTTAGGTAAAGTCAAAAACCTTACTTACTATTTACTTTTCATTGTTTTTCAAAGGAAATAAATCATTTAAAAATATGAAACAAGAAGAGTCTTTGGAATCACGCAAACTGTAACAGGAAGACGCCATCAAGTATGGATGATGACGTAGCATCTGTAACAGAACTGTTTGGATATATTTATATATAACTGGGAAAATAAAGACATTTAAGATCTTATAAACATTGTGAGAAGGTAAGAAAATTTTATTTTTATTGTATTTAATACAAAAAAAGTGTTTGAAGTTGACAAAGCAAAGGAAAACAGAAAATGAATTTGGATGTTTTACTACATTTTCTTGCCAACTTGTAAATCTACAACAGCAGCAACCACATTCTTCTCTATATTTGGTCATTTTTCTGTGGGAGTAAAACCCAGAGATTAGAGAAATGCTTCCTTTAAGATACTTATCTTAAGATAAGATTTAACAGAACTGCACATAAGATGCCATAGTAGAATGGTTTGGGATTTAAACAGGACCTATTATGCAAAGTTCACATTTTGCACATTTTTATTTATTTGGGCCTCAACTGCCTAAGTGCTTAAAAAAACCCAAACAAGCGTTTGACAATAAGTTAATGTTTTAAAAACTTAATGAAGGAAGGACTGCATTGTTACCTAGCAACCCCAGTGAAGCACAATCCGTCACCTAGCAACCCAAGCTGAGTTCCAGAACATTTGTTCAGCTGGTTTTACCACTGCTAGAAAAGACAAGTTTTTTGTTGTTCACTTACCATTCAAAAACAACTTGCTGAATTCATGTTAGTTGTGCAGGAGGCTGCACTAATGCTTTTCAAAGATGTGCAGTTGTATAATTACGCATCTGTTTTCAGCCATTTTCATGTGCAAGCCTAAACGTGGAGCTGTGGAGCTTATTTGGATTTAAAATAAGTCCTAAAAGATCTTATTCTGAAAGGGGATGGAAATAGACAGGAATGACCAAACTAAAATTTCATAATTTGAGTGATTTTGTGCTAAGAATATAATAAACATGTTCTCTATAGGTCATAGACCAATCCTAACCTGTTCAACAAAGCAGCTTTAAGCTTGTAAGAGGATTGAGGTGTGTTCAAATGTCCTGTTTTGAGGTAGGAATCAAGAGTTTCTGATAGCGCAGCAGCAGCAGTAGGGTGTGGGTCTTACCAGGCCGTTGCAGTTGCTCAGGGCAACTTTGCTAGAGTGCGGCTGGTCCTGGAGGTGACCCGTGTAATGACAATGGGGAGAGTACGGGTGGCTCCAGGCTAGCTGGCCCCTCTTCCAGTACTCCACCCTAAACTGGCGGGACAGCAGGCCTCCCTGCAGCGTCAGGTTCAGCAGGAAGTTGTTCTGCGACGTGGACAGCTGGTAGAAGAGCTAAGAGACGAAGGAAGAGGAGACGTGAGAGCCGTAAAACGCCTGGATCGGTCTGAAAATGATCCAATGCGGAGTCTGAAAAAGCATAATACAGAGTCAGGCAGCCTGTCTTCAGTGCTTCGTCTTCTTCTTTGGTGGTATTTTGTCCTGTCTGTGTCCAGCATCTCGCCATTTGGTCCTACACGTACTGGGATGGCGATCTCATACTGGCCTAGGCTGGACAGGAAAGCAGCTGTGGACGTGGAAAACAAAGAAGGGATAAAAATCAAAGTTAAACAAAATATCCATCAAAATTCAGTTTAATCAGCGAGTGATTCTATATTTGCAACAAGCTGGAAAAGAGAATCAGAGCTTCTGGTTCTCCACTGAAAAGCCCCAACTTGCGACAACCACTCTCCATTCATGAGGCCAAATGGGGGTTGCCATGGCTACCTTGAAATTGTATACTTCCTGTCTGTCTGGGGCCTGTTGGAGATTTAATGTAAAGCACACAGAATGAAAAGGTGACCTGTGTTTTCCAGCAGTACAGCACCTTACAAAAGTATTCACGGTGTTTTAACTTCCTCATGTTGTTACATTAGAATGAAAATCCTCAGTTTGTTTCACTGGAGTTTATGACAAACAGACATAAATTAACACATAATTGTATAGAGGAAGTGCAATTAAAGTTGCAACTCGTTTCGTCTCTTATATTTATTTATGTCGCCACGAGCATTCATATTTAAAGCCTCAAATTTCTCCCAATATTCTTGTAAAACAGGATGAGCTCAGACAGACTAGATAGAGAAAAAGTCTTTCCACAAGTTCTGAGTTGGTTTTAAATCTGGACTTTGACTGGACCATTCTAGCATGGTTTCCTCTAATTAATGTGTTCATCCCTAGTTTTCTATGGTGGCCAAATTTGCACAACTAAAGCTAGGTTTCTCAACATATTCTCCTACCTGAGCTGCGTATCTCTGCAGCTCCTCTTATCATGCGTCTCTTGTCTGCTTCTGATTATTTTTTTATCTTTCTTATAATTTATTTCAATTTAGGAAAGCTGGAAGAAGGAAAACTAAATAAAAGTAGAGGAGAAAGTCAAAGTAAGGAAGCAAGAGTAAAGGAAAGATAGAAAGTAAAAATAAGTAAGAAGGTGAGTGAAAGTAGCATAATAAGAAAAAGAAACGAAATAAGAAACAATAAGAAAAGGAAAAGTTAGTCAAATTAAGTAGGAAAGTAAGCAAAAAGAAGTGAGGAGTAATGTATGTAAGAAAGCAAATGTGAGTAAGTAGAAGCAATATATAAAGTAAAATTAAGTAGGTAAGAAAATAACTAAATGTAAAAGTGAAGAGATAAAGACAAAAGAAAGTAAGTATGAAAATGGTTTAAAACAAATTAAGTAGAGTAAGTACAAATAAGGAATTTTTTTTTAAAGTAGGTAAAATAGGAATGGAAAGGTACAGAAGGAACAATAATAAAGAAAAGCAAAAATACATAAAAATGTAAGTAAAAGTGAGTGAAAGTAAAAGTTAGAAAGAACGTCAATAAGAAATAAGATCAAAAAAGAAAGAAAGCAACTTAATGTCAGTGAAAGTGTGCACATATAACAAAGTAAACAAGAACAACAAAAGAGAAAGTGAGGAATATAAAGAGCTCTGGAAAACATTAAGACACCCCTTAAAATGATAAGTTTCTCTGATTTTCCTTTTTATAGATATACATTTGAGTAAAATGAACATTGTTCTTTTTGTTCTGATGACATGTCCCTGAAATTACAAGGAAACATTTAGTATTTATTTGCAGAAAATGAGAAATGGTCAAAAGAACAAAAAAAGATGCAGTGCTTTCATACCTCAAATAATGCAGAAAACCAAGTTAGTATTAATTTACAAACAACAATACTAATATTTTAACTCAGGAAGAGTTCAGAAATCAACATTTGGTGGAAAAACCCGGGGGTTTTTAATGGGGTTCAGTGGGCTCTTAGTTTTTTCCAGAGCTGTATATACATCCATACATCCATCCAGAACTGTATATAAATAAGCAAAAGTACATAAGTACAAATAATACAGAAAGTAAAAGTAATAAAGTAGATAACAGTAAGTAGGAAAGAAAATAAATAAATATATATGAGGAAAGTAAAACAAAGTAAGAAAGTGTAAGTGTAGTTTGCACTTAAAAATCCCACTGAACAACATAAAGGCCACAAACGTTGGAGCTGTAATCCTGAAACTCAGAGCTGTCACAAACCACAACAAGGCGGCAACAGCATCATCTCTGAAGCACAGGAAAAACTCCTGCAGAGAAAACAACAAGGGCTCCGTTATAATAACACGTAAAAGAAATGCAAATTACTGAGACCTCACACAGAATAACAAAGACCACCAACACAAATTAGTCTACTGTATCAATAAAACACCAGTGGAGTGTTTTTTTTAACAGCTGCTGCAGGCTTTTCCTCCACAGGGTTTCCCATCAACTTCCTCTGGCTCACACACAGTCTGTCCAGACCACCAACACCTACTGTATATCGCTTTAATAACTTGATTTAGACGTTTTAAACAGACTGTTTAACGCAGGGGTCCCCAAACTTTTTCCTGCGAGGGCCACATGACTGTTCCCTTTTCTGGTCGGGGGCCCGTCTTAGTTTTTCGAGAAAGAAACCTAAGAAAAGTTTTGTTGACGGGGGGGAGTGAAACTGTGGACCGGGGGGAGGGGGGGGGAGATTGGATTACTGCCGACGACATATTCGCGTTTGTAGATAGATTTTTTACCCAGAATGCAAATGGAAAAAAACCGTGAGCGAAACCGTGACTGGTACTAACTAGTATATATTCCATTGAGGAAAACTAAGTTTCATATCTGCTCAAGAGCCCCCCTGGTGGTTGAAGAAAAATCCACATATATATGAAAAAAAAAAAAACACTGAATTCTCCCTGGTATTGTTCAGGGGGCCGGACCGAATGAGGAGGCGGGCCAGATCCGGCCCACGGACCGTAGTTTGGGGACCCCTGGTTTAACGGGACACATTGAAACGTTACAAGATCACAACAAACTTTACTGGAGACTTTAACGGGATAGCTGCAAGAACTACTTAGTTTGTTTCTTCTGAGTCAAAAAAGATGTACAAGAACGCAAACATGTTTTTAGAAGAAAAAAGCATCTGAATGTAACTTTTCTGATAAAATGTCAATAAGTTTTGATCTCTCTGAATGTAGCCTAACATTTATCTACACTAATAAAAATTTGAGTGACATTTACTTAGATAAAACAAGGTACTTAGAATTTTTTTGTCATTTTAATTTGAAAAAGTCAAACAATCAATCTAAGTCCAAGTTAATTTAACAAAATGCACTCCTGTTTTGTTAATAAACTTAACTATAATTTTTTATTAAATTCCAAAACATCTGTAAGAAGAAATGACTTTTATTTGCTATAATCAAGTTATTTCTACTCAATAATCTAAATCTCAACATGGCGTGGGTATTTATCATATCGTTTATCATAAAAAAATTCTCATCATAAAAAGAATTTTGATTTATTGTTACCCTGATAAATGTCCATTAATAATGTTAAAACAAAATTATCGGAAATTTTATTTTTGACTATTTTCTCCATAGTTTGTTCCAAAAGGGCATCCATTTACTCAAATGAAAGTAGCGACACTTCATAGTAAAATTACTCAAGTAAAAGTAAAGAGTACAGGGTTAAAAAAATACTAATAAAAGTACTTTTTCCCCAAAAAAAGTAGGTGTAACTGAGTAAATGTAAGTAGTTACTACCTGACTCTGCTTATAACTTAGCCGTTCAAAAGAAAACCCATAAAACACAAGAAGGAAACATGAATCTACTGAGAAACTGAAATGAAGCATCAATGGAAACAAGAAGAAGTGGAAACATGGCTGCTGATTTTAACAGGAGAAAACACCCAAACTAATGGGCTCACATACAGAAGTTAGTGTGCTGATAAAAAACACGCCCCTGGATCTGTTACTGCTAAATGAAAATAGTGGAAGGAAGTACTCTGGGTGGAAAAGAGCAACTCCCTCCAGGCCAGAGCGCTGATCGGTCTCTTTTGCACCAAGTTTTATAAAAGAAAAGGAAATACAGTTAATTCGTATCATCTCTGAGGACCAGAAATTATCTGTTTATGTTTTTGTTGTTTAATATAATAATTTTTAGATAAAGAAGAGCTTCATCTTTATAAATAATATAATTCCTTCCTGGTCTACAGAGTCTAAAACCTCAATACTAATCAATTTAATTATGTGCTTAAAAGCTGTTAAACTCTATAACCATTACAGCTCGCAATAAAATCAATGTGTTTAAACACAGCTGACATTTCAACAATCATTTGCACTGTTTGGTTTATTTTTAAATAACATTTCTGCTCTTGTTACATATCTGTTTTCTGCATTGCACAGATGCAAAACAGTTAATGTATTTTTAATGTTCAATACGTATGCACATTATTTACTTATTTTAAAGTAATAAAATGCAGTTGTACTACATCAGAGTACATAATTTCTATTCTTATGTTTTTTTACTTTTTGTGAACCACCTGAATTTCCCCAGTGTGGGACAATAAGTGATATTTTTGTCTAATTCTATGTTTCCAGTAGAGAGAGTAACAAATTAGATGTTTGACCAGAATAATCTGAGGCACACAAGCAAATCCAACTCTGGATGGAAATCCTTTTTTTACTTTCTTTTTTTAAGCCACTCATGAAGCCTACAATCGCCAGCTGTGTTTCCTTTCACCATATAATTGCGCAATAAATTCCCTTAATGTACCGATTTTTACCAATTTCGGAAAAAAACAACAACTAGTTTTTCGATAAAAAAGTTTTGCCGCTGATTTTTTGGCTGTATAGAAATCGATTTATTTCGCAAAACTGCAATTGAAACACTTTTTTCGCGTCACACAAGTCACATGATCAACAAGACGCTATTGTAGACACAAACCACGAAGAAGAAATCGACATGAAGTAGTTGAATAATCATAGACATAATATAAGCATAGACGCCTCATGGACCGCTC